AGCGTTTGCAATTAGCGATGTAACTAAATATCACAGTTGCCAATTATGGCGACATATGTACTTCACGAATTTTAGGTCGCAGATAAAAATAGGGCACAATGCAAATAACCCACAGAGAAAACATAGGCGATGAATTTTAGATGATTCAACTCTCTTTTCGCAAGAAGAAAACTACCTACTTTTGTCCATACAAATCGACTTGCATTTCCGAGTTTCATCTAAATTCTTCAATTCTGAAGCATATTACGTATTTTAAAAGTTAGAAATTAAATTGTAAATATTTTTTCTTTAAATTTTGAACCTTTCAGAATCTCATAGACTTTATTATAAAACAACAATTATTAAGCTTTAAATACATTTGTAATCTACAGTTATTTGTTTTAAGAGAAAGAGTGTTTCGTTGTTAGAACCCCTAGGTTTATTTTCTTCAAGGTTACAGTACAATAAAATTTGTCTACACGATAGAAGTTAGATGTTAGAAGTTAGATGCCAACGACGCGGCGTCTCCCGGATAGCCGAAAATTCACGATAGAAGTTAGTTAATGAATTGAAAAATCTTTAAATACTAAACAGTTATTCTTAAAATAAATATTTTATACATGATGCCCCTGAGATTAGAGTAATTAGAGAGATTAGTAAGTCACTCAATATCCAAAATTAAGATAGTTTCCTTTTTAGCTAGAGATTGACAAAGCCACTGGTAAAGTGTAATACAAGATTTATCTTGAAGGTGAGGAGTCCCAAATAATTTTATAGACAGGTAATGAATTGTATAACATAATTTACCTTTCTTCAATAAATGTTTAATTAAGTTACACAATTCATTGTCTGTCTATAAAATTATTTGTGACTCTTTTCCTTCAAGATAAATATTCATTTAAGACAGGCTGATGTATACCATTTATCAAGTAGTGTAATATAACACAGTAATGCAGGTAGGATCTTTAAATAAATATATATGGTTTCTATGTTGATTTCCTTATTTACAGAATTCTTTGAACTTGCAATTGCCTTTGCTGTAGAAGTCAGTTAATCTAATCCCAGACGCCTATTTTTTTCATAGAACCACGAAAGAAGGCAAGTTTCAAGTATACATGATTCAATAACAGTTGAGACAAAGGAAAAATTTTCAAACCCATGTCTGGCAAATGTCTGTTCTTTCTTTATAAAATTCTTCCCTGCTTTTGAATTTGACTGATTTTTTATGCGCAATGTCAATAATCTATCAGTCGCTCGTATCTTATTGCTGTGGCAAAGGAACGGACGAATTGTATAAATAAGCATGGGCACATCCAAGGAGCCGAGAACAAAGCAGATCTATTTTAACTTCTCTGCCAGCAGATTTCTCTTATTGAGTTCCATGACTATTCAGCAATTTTGTACTATTTGTGTTCAACGCTAAAATAAGCCAAAAGATCTCAAAATAGAGGGTTTTAATTTATGCCACTCCTTGTTAATTACATAAAACCTCATTTATAAACAGAATATGATGTATAGGAAAATCATTCCTGAGCTTTGTTTACTAGCTTGAAAAAGCCCTTAATAAGATCATAACGGATAGTAACACGGTGCACATACATTCGGGTATTAGACGACACCAACAATGCTCTTCAAAACTCAACTGACGATTGCTGCAGATTTTATTTATTGACAATTGTCTAGTCGGATAGTTTGTACACGATATAGCATTATTTTAAACACATGCTTTAGGAGCGTTCAACGACTCAAAAGAAAAGTATTCCAATCCACTGCATTTTAGATCAGGTCATCACTTAAACTTGTTTCACATTTTTATAAAACACCAAATAAAACAAACGTTGGGCTAAAGGTAGTAGTAACATTGAAGAACAATTGAACAAGCAAAAACTTTATATTGGATGCTGTTGGAGGTTACGTTTACCGACTCAGGATAAACGATAACGGTCATTCTTTCATCGTTCAAAGTTATTTAAAAATGCTACGTTGAAATTTATTTTTGAACTCTTAAAATTATAGAGGATATCCTGCGTCTCCGAGATTGCAACTAATACCTCTCATACAGCCATCCATCTTCCTGACCGGTTCGCCACCGAGTTTCCTCCTTGGAAGCGGTGGACGACCAATGAGAGCGCGTGCGTCACATGTCACGGGGCGCGCGCTGTCCTTCCGGATGCTGCTATGCCCGACGCCACTCCCTGTCGCCGCGCCCCGCGCCGCGCCGCAGCTGCAACACTCGACAGATCCGCGCATCGCTTTGTGCCCCCTCGGAACGTCCGGCCGAAAGGTTACTTGCAGTGCAGGCGACTGGCCGCAAGCGAAGGGCTGCCGAGTGCGCACAGTCGCGGAGAGCGCCTCCCCCGTACGTACAGAAAAGCAATCATCTCGCTATCTCCCCTTCTTCCTCCATCAACACCCACAGCCAGCACGTACGCCAGATGTTAATTATTTTCTTTTACACATTGCTATAGAAATTGATACAGGAGTGAGTGAGGAAAGTGTTTAGTAATCAACTCTTACGGTCTTTATAGTCCCAGTAAGCATGTAGTGCATACTATTATCCGGAAGACGCGTGGATTTGCCCCACTGAACGGAGTCCGACCTAAACTGTCGGTTTGCGGTATCCCCTTCCGGAATTTTCCATCACGCACCTCCCACACCATACTCGCCAACGAGACGATTCCTGGTGAAGTTGTGACATCGCAGAAAGTGGCCGCCTCTTACAGCAGTTAGTTTTAGGTCGCCGACCAACATTTTACAAAAAAATGCAAGAAGTTTTCTCCTACACATTCATTGATATTGACATTTCCCTTCATTTTCTATATTACGTATTTTAAGAGCGACTCATCGGTCCTGAAGTTAAAACATCGTTCTGACCAAAGGCTAACTTTGTTCAGTGAAGGCCTAGCAGGGACGGAACTATTTCAGGGAAAGGGACATTTTCAGCTTGAACTGCCAGTAAATATTTTTCAAATAATACATTTTTTATTTGTTAACTCTAAATTTAAAAAAAAGTGGAATCAAAATAGGAGTACTCCTTCGAATATGAGGCGATAAATGTGTGATAATTGTTATGAGTACATTGAGTAAAATTAAAAAGAACGTTAGTTTTGGCTGGGTGGTTGGGGACATTTTCTTTTCCCTTCCTTTTGACGTGCGCCTGAGGTCTTGTGGTTCGCAAAACCCGCCTCCACCTCCGCCACCGCCGTTGTCACCTCCGCCGTCTGGCATCGCTGTCGCATCCACGACCGCCACTCGCCCCTCGAGTTCTTCGCTGGCAGCCGAAGCCTCCTGCCTCTAATCAGCCAGATCTTCAAGTGACGCAGCCCATCGCTTCCGAGATTTGTTTGTTTTTTTAACTTTTTTCATTCTTAAAGCGGCAGACCCAACGAATGCTCGGGGCTGCACAAACTCTTCTGAATGGCGCGTGTCCATTTGCGCGAGTGCTTCCAATCAGCAGATTCAATCGGCCGGCGGAAGTGCACAACCGTGTGCATTCTCGCACTGCGTGGGTTTTCCGGTGAACCGTGCAAATAAGCGTGAAAGAAGCCAACGTTGCAAGATTGGTTGTTACTTAGAACGACGAGCGATCGCTTCTTTTAGGAAAGGTATCACAAATGTCACATTTATCAGAAGTAAATTTTAAAATGTTCAAACGAACTGAAATGCAAATTATAATATGAAATGATAAGACAAACAATAATTGTTTTAATAGGAATATTTTGACAATTTCGTACTACTTTGAATAAAATAATAATATTCATATATAAATTTAAATATTTATTACTAGTGTCAGCATTTTTAGGATTTTATAAGCGCCATTTTGGGCATTCTGAAAAGTCGATTTTATTTTAGGTTTTGTTTCTAATCATGTTAGTTAGTTGTTAGGACTGAACAATAATTGCAATAAACAAATATTACGAACTCATTCCTTTAAATTGTTTTATTTCTGAACTTGAAAGTTCTCTTTTAAAAAAGATCATAAAATTCAAGGACAAAATTTTAACTTAAAAATTCCCTTGATTCAAACCAAATATTCACTTTTATGAAGATGCCCTGTTGCAATCAACGACCATGTACAACTCTCTAAATATCTTATGTGTAGGTGTTCCTATTGTGTCTCAACGCACAAATTGTTTGCTCAACGTAACATAAAGTGAGAGGAGCGTACGACATAGATGCCACTGCGCTGACTCCAAAAGTAATTCTCCAGATATTTCTACTCCTAGAAGAATTACATTTGTTTTTCAATTTTGTGTAACCAGGATTATATTGAATTTGCTTTGACGAGAACACATCACCTTCAGCCCCGGTACTTTCTTCAATGAAACAGCTTAAATGACGTCCATCGCTCCGTTTAGTAGAATAAAGGTATATCCTCATTTTTAGCAGGAAAATAATATTGATCTAATTAGTAGAAATAAAGTCAGCAAGTTAGATGCCGAGTACAGACTATCGTATAGTTCGGTCAGTCCAAATAAAGAAATCGGTTTTCTGAAAGGCAACGTTGCATATTTTTTAATTCTGATTTAGCCTCGTTTATTGCCATAGCACATTTAGCCGTTTTTAGGATCTGTAGGATTTATAAAGTTGGCTCAGAAATGATTGAAACGAATATGCATATTAAAATAATGATGTCAAATGGTGAGGAACAAAATAGATTAAAGCCTTAGAGCTCGGGCCCTACTGATTGCATTACAAAAAAACCCAACTTAACAGATAATGCAGCATTGACATCCAGTTCTGCAAGAAGAACAGTAATTAAAAATTGGTTTCAAATGTGCAGCTTCCCAATAAATGTAATAATATGTTTTCTTCGCATTGTCTTGGATCGACTTCGATTGCACATAAATCTGAGAGTTTTTTTAGAATCAAACCCCGTTTTTGCTGGCAAAGTAACACGTGTTTGCCTGCGTGTAAGAGGCCTACTGCCACACACATGAAATAGGAATGCCTATTTTTAACGCAATTTCTAAAAGTGGTCGAGGTCGCACGCACGTTTGGACAGTCGATGTGGTACTCACCTCCCTTTGCAGATAATACCGGAAGTGATGGAAATTGAGTTCCAGAGTGCTGCGGAAGTGATCGAGACCCCGTTCCACGCCATACAGGTCGAGCAGGGTGCCAATGTTAGCAGTTAAAACCTTTAACAAAAGAAAATTTGTCATGTAAAATACAATAGATTAAACTCAATTTCACTGTGTTAATATTAATAATATATTGCGGAACACATTACCATGATATTCATTTAGAAACAGTATTAATCTGAAATAATTGAAGAAGTAGAATTCTCGTAATACCAACATTTTTTAAACATATTTTTTATTTCAAATCTAACTTCCACTTTTCATGTGGAACTTAAAATATATGAAGATACAAAAGAAATATACGATTTAAAACTATCACAATATAATACTCCTATATTTTAAACAACACGTGTTTGTATAAACAATTTACTCAGGGGAGATAACTTTTCAATTTATTGATTCACTAAAGGACTAGACATAAAGTGAACATACGTACATTAACATGTATATGTTGCCACCTTTTTTTATGCAGAAAACTCGCCCACGAAACTACGCCGACATTCATCAGTGATTTCACTCTTTGAAAAACATTACAAAATAATGAAAAATATAAGATTAATATACATTTTTATCTGATAATTTAAATAAACAATGATACGAAACATGTGAATAGTTCTGATTTGAAGCTACATCTCCCCTGTAATGAATGTTGTACAAACGACCCACACAGCAAAATGAATGTCTCTATTGTATTGTCCCCATTTGAATACGTTTTACATAATACTAAAGGAACTCTTCCCAAACCTTATTTGCAATTTCAACATTCACCTTCTGCAATTACGTAACTCGCACCGATCTTGTGAAAACAACTCGAGGGCCCATGGTTGTAGTGGAATTCTGCGAGTAAATATTACTTCAAGGAAATCTGCATAAGCTCTGTACCCTCTGACGAACCTTACATTCCCAGCATTTTGTTAAGTTCTTTTTTATGCTGCGGTTTATTAGTAAAGACTAATTTTAGTATTATATTAGTACCATCAAAGTACTCAAAAGATACATACAAATTTTACTGTTGAAATAATTAATTATTTCACAAAAATAATATTTGGAGGTGATGGGATTTTTCTTCAAAGTAAAAATGCGTCAAAGGATTGAAAATCATGTAAAAACATAACCAATCAATACCAGTGTAAAACATATTATTTGCAATCATAGAAGTAGGGAATAGTTGTCTATGATTAGTTAGGACTATGGTTATTAGGGAATAGTTGTATAGTTAAACAGCATAGCATTTTAGGACGCCAGAGATATGAGAAATGCTATTAGAACATCCTACATACAGTCAAAAATTCTCAGAATTTTATAAGCAAATGTTTTCAGATTTACCAGGAAGTAGTCGACGGTCGCTGAAAGTGTCCTTGTAAGCTCTACAAATACTGAAATACCTGTAGATGAAGGTGTGTGGCTTGAAATATTTATATTTCAACTCCTACAATAAGATTCTACCACCATTGTCGATATAATATTTCGAAAAGTTTGGTGAACAGAAGCCTCCCCTTTTTAATTACATTTTCGCAAATGACATTTGGCTAAGTTATTAGTAGATCCAGTTGCTACTACTATTACTATTATTACTATTATTACTATTATTATAAATATTATTAGCATCATTATCATTATTATTATTATTATTATTATTATTATTATTTGCGCATCGGCTGTTTATGACCAAGCTACGCGTTACTTTCCGAGGCCCCGGAGAGATTAACGTGTGTATCAGATTAACGTATGGAGATCAACGTTTTACGGCTGTATTCCTAAAAAAGGTTGTTACGCCTTGAATTATGAATAATGAGGTGATAGAATTATAATGAGGGATAAAGGGACTATC